CCTCCATTAAATAGAACTTTTGAATGGTTTTCCTCATCTGACTTCCTCAACATGTGAGTTTATTCATTGAGTTAAACTGTCTGACCCGATGCAAGAGATAGATTCAACACCATGTCGTATAGCTGTATACATCACTGGAGATAAAGTTTATGGTCCTGTAGTTGAGTCAGAACACAGCTCATATACATAGCATATATTTTAACACAAAACCACTGTTGCTTAAAGAATACACCTTTAAATGTCATTTAGCCCACTGTTTATCAATGTTTTCACCCATGACTTACAGATGTTCACACAATTCAATTAAAATGGTGAAAGTTATGTGGAACCTTGGAGAAAAAGTTGATAAACAGACCCCTTAGTATGTTTTAATAGCGGCAAACAGATATATTTAAAAAATACTGTTAGAACCCACTTCAGTAAAGTTAATCTCACACACAAACACACACATACACACACTATCAAGACTTATAATGCTCTCATTTTAAAGCTAGCCATAGACAAGTATATGGCTGGCCGTATATTATTAATTTTTTTTTATCAGTCAGTGAGCTTCAAACAAGGAAGTGGGACTCCTCTGCTGTCAGAATACACTGATCAGCACTGCAACCTACTGATCGAGAAACATTCTCCAATGTTACCGTTTCTACAGAAGTTGATCATTAGAAGTCTATCCATCTATGGCGAGCTGATGTCTATGAATGACAAGTAGTGATGCATTGGTTTGTTTTCAAGCAAATGCTACACTACCAAAACCCATCATAATCTTGTTTCTTCATTTTATTGTCAGACTGATGTTTTTCCCCTTTTTCTAATAGGCAGGTTAATGGCACTTAAAAGGTACATACCAGGCAAAATGGAAAAATTATCTCTTGTGCAGCATGCACGGACCATAGCCTAATGGTTGACTACTTTTCTTATTTTTTTTATTATATAGAAACTGCTGCATTGCACAAGCCTAGGCTACTCAATTTTGTTTGTAATCTGGTCATTCTAAAAGACACTTCTTGCTGCTTCCTACACATACAAAAATGGGCCAGCACTGAAACAGTCCTTAATTTTTTTTTTTTATTGATCTTCATCCACAATGCATGCTCACTTCTTGCCTAGAATTTACCTTTCAAGTTTAACTAAAGACAAACTTTTTTTTAATTATATTTTTTAGATTTGAGATAGAGTGGCGAGGGAATAGAACAGAAGTCAAGTTTTTCTTGTTGTCTATGTCCCTGCTAGGAAAATTCACCCTCTCTATGGGTCCTCAGTTTCATCCAGTTTCCTAAAGGACAAGATTAATAAACAGTATTCAATACAGCATTCTCTCACAAAGCTACTTACTACCAGAGGCAATCATTTTGGTAATTGTAAGAAAAATAAAACAAAGCAAACCAATGGGTATGCAAAGGTTAACAGAATAAAAATAAAGAGGGGTGGGTGGGGGACCTTGGCTACTAAATAAAGGTTGGCCCAATTAAAATGGTGGAGTGATATCATGACGGTCCAATTTTCATAGAAAGTGACAGCATACACTGGCACTGGAAGTATTTTAATGATCAACACAGTCTAGTCTCTCATTCCTATTTGCAAATTCCACCCTTCCTTAAGCTGGTCATATGTGGATCCCTGCTAAACTGGCCAAATTTCGATCCATGTATGGCCACTGTGGTTGTACAGAAGTCGATCTACCAATTGACTTCTGTACAACCAGCATGCTGGATTCTCCTAGGGCGTTTGCTGCCGCAGGCTGTAGCCTGCAGCACTGATCAGTGTATTCTGACAGCGCGGAAGTCTCTCCACTGTCAGAATATAATAGCTCAGCGGGGAGAATTCCCCTATCCTCCTTGAATGTGTGGATGGTGGAATCAGGTCAGTTTTTACATTCAACCTGCTAGTAAAATGAAAACAAACTGACTCATCTATGGGCTGCTTTAGTCCTGCATGCTAATATGGAGCAGATCCTTAGGTGCAGGTGCTAACTCCTGTCCCATCTCTCCCCTTTCGTATACCTCAGGGCAGCAAATCCCTGAACTTATGGCAATCTACAAACTGAACTACTCCACTGCCACCTGGACTGATGAGCACCTATGTCCTTTTCAGCCCACGTTAGACCATGTATGGCAAACAGGAAACCAATAGTTTTTTACCATTCACCAAGTACAAGCACATTAAATATTATATATTAATAGAAAAACGGATGAAATTAAATTGCAAAAAAGAGGTATAATTTGTTTTTTCTTTTTTTTACTACATTAAAGTATATTGAAAGCCATATTTTTTAGATAGAGCATGGAAGGGTTGTTTTTTATGTTTGTGTGTATTAGTTCTTCATTTTCTGTCCTAGAGGTGAGAACAGGCTAATAAACTGGAACAGTTTGCCTAATCTTTTGTTTTTGCAGCAGCTTAAATTGTTGAATGTCCCATCATTTTCTGTAACAGGGATAATGGTCACCAGGGACAATAGAGAAGGTGAAACTCCACAAACAGCAATAATATTCTGCCTGAGCTTCTAACCGTTCCTCCTCTTCCAAAATATAAAGAAAGATTTGTGTTTACTTCTCTAACTACTTCTCTACCCATGCATGTCTATAGGATTGAAGAAACAGCTTGAAGCAGGCCAAATACAGGTCAGAAAGAGGTCAATTGCAAGTCAAATGTGCCGCTCAATGATCTCAGAAGAATCTCAAACTGATGTAAAAAGCAAGAATCCATAAAGTCACATATTGATGGTGTCAGATAATAATCTAGCTTTATTAAAGCTGGCCAATGCATACTGCAGCTTCTCCTTGGACTATTCCAACTCTAACGTTTTCGACTCAATGCTGGCTTGATTACATCTCTGTGATCAAACAATATATTTCCATAACTCAAAATATGTATCCATTAAAAGTATATTACAGTTTCCTTTTACAGCTCTTTAAATGTTGCCTGCCCTAATGGTGATTACCATCATTGCCAATTGACCACTAGCAGTTATTCAGAATATGGAGAAAGGAAAAAAAAAACCTTCTATTCTCTCAAATCCTTTGTTGAAAATGAATTTCCTTTCGGAGCTTCTAATTTCCTACGTGTTGGCTTAATTCAGTTATCAAATACATTTAGAATGAGATAGAAAAATAAATAAGTGTGCTGTGAATATCAATAATGTAGAGGTTGTTGGGTTTAGATGTCCATCTGATCACAGCAGGTGATGAAAATGTGAATAAGTAAGTTCCAGCACATCTTGGACTTGGCTACAGTTTCTATCATACAAGCTGTGAGCATTATCCAGGTCCTCGAGAAGCTTGGTTTATTTTTTTTTCTTTAACAACTAAAAGTTAGGTTAAATCAGGACATGATTACATTGACTCTTTCACCCCTGGTTATCATAAATCCCCTTTCAATACACTGCTGTAAAAAACTCAAATATGATGTCAACACACAATAATTTATTAATGTCACCCTCTGTTTTGATGCATGGGACACCACATCGCAGAAGAACATTTATGATCAACAGGAGTAATTTATCATTATGTCATATGCGTTTTTCTGACATCCCTCATTGCATACACTCCAGGGTCACTGGCAAGAGAAGCGACCTTCTGGCATTTAATATACATTTGTGGTTTACACCCATTATTTGGAGGCCCACAGTGAGCTGGAATCAACATCTGTAGCTTGTTGTATGAAAACATTCCACCTCTCACAAAACAGAAAGTGTTCTTGTACCTCAGAAACAGAATAAAGACACATACATTATTTATGTAAAAATGTTCCTGTAAGCACATCAGATGCCTGATACTCATGACAATGGCCAGCATATTTTATGCTAAATATATATATATATATATATATATATATATATATATAGGGATGAAGCTGTAATAGAAAAGCAATGCAAGATGAACAGAAATAAAAACATAAATTCAGATAATATTTTGATAGCATGTGATATGTGAAGATATCAGATGAGTCATAAAAGTACCAAGACAAGCTTACATAACCTTTGGCAAAGCATGCTGGGAAATGAAGTTCAACAACAGTTCAATGGTCACTTAATCCCTAGCTATAACAACAGTCAACTGCTTTTTTGACAGAAGAACCAACATTTTATCTTAACAGATGTTCTGTGCAATCCATGGGTTAAGAATGTATAAAAAGAGTAGTGTGGTAATGATGGCTCACAAGATGTCTCAAAACACTTCCAGTATTGTATGAAACTTGGTTAAAGGAAACCCTTCAGTGTTATTTCAATATATCATTCTGGCAGGAGGGCATAGCCTTAGACCTATCTGGACAAAAGACTCATACATTTTATTTTAATGCTATCAAATACAATGAGAAAAAATGTAGTTATAGTGTAAGAAAATCATACCAGTGAATGTCTCTTAATTGTTCTATTTTTTTTTTTTCATTTAACCACTTGTCTACAGGGCAATTATACCCCCTTCCTGCCCAGGCCAATTTCCAGCTTTCAGCGCTGTCACACTTTGAATGGCAATTGCGCGGTCATGCAACACTGTACCCATATGAAATTTTTATCATTTTTTTGAGACAGATAGAGCTTTATTTTGGTGGTATTTAATCACCTCTGAGATTTTTATTTTTTCTTAAACAAACCAAAAACCACAGAAAATTTTGAAAAAAAAAAAGTTTTTTCTTAGTTTTTGTTATACAATTTTGTAAATATGTGATTTTTCTCCTTCACTGATATGCGCTAATGAGGCTGCAGTGATGGACACTGATAAGCTGCACTGATGGACACTGATAGGTGGCACTGATGGGCACTGATGAGGCACTGGTAGATTGCACTGATGGGCATTGACAGGCATCACTGATGGGCACTGAAAGGCAGCACTGATACATGACACTGATATATGACTGGCACTGATAGGCGGCACCGACTGGCACTGATAGGCGGCACTGACTGGCACTGTTAGGCAACACTGACTGGCACTGATGCACACTGATAGGAGACACTGCCTGGCACTGATAGGTGGCACTGATTGGCAGCACTGATAGGTGGTACTGACTGGCATTGATAGGTGGCACTGACTGGCACTGATGGGTGACATTGAAAGGCAGCTCAGATGGGCACTGATGTGTGGCATTGATGTGCACTGGTATGCACTGATATGTGGCATTGATGTGGCACTGATGGGCACTGGCAGGTGGCCCTGACTGCTGGCACTGATGGACACTGACGGGTGGCACTTCTGGGGCCACACTGATCATCAGTGCCCTGATGATCAGTGTACATGTCCCCTCCACAGAAAGCCGATTACCAGCTCTCCTCTCGAGCTGTCATCATGACAGCTCGAGAGGAGAGAAATGCCGATAACCGGCATTTCCGTGTTTACATGTGATCAGCTGTGATTGGACACAGCTGATCACATGACCGAGCCGACATCTTCGGCTCTTTCCGTGATCCGCTGTGTCCGAGGGACACAGCGTACCGGCGATCGCCGCGCTGCGTGCTCCCTGGGCCACGCATGCGCAATGAGAATGGTAGGACGTCATATGACGTCCTATCAGAACGAGAGAACCACCTTGCACCTGTCATTGTACTATAGGGCGGGCGGAAGTTGGTAAACATTAAAAGCTTCATTGGGTTCTGTGCACTCCGCTGTCTTATCTCAGGCTTTGTTATTAAGCCTGCCTTGTACAGCTTGGGCTATGGAAGGTCTCCCCCTATGTTATGGAGAGAAGGAGGTAGTCCTAATACACTCCTGTCCCAATGTGACAATGATTGCATTTCCAGAGATACAGTATTGTGAAAGTGATTTGTTATCCTAGGCCAGAAGTATCATTAGGTAAAAATAAAAGAATTAAAAATAAAGCCACTGCATTTAGGTACTAGTTAGCTGTATTTTATATCATTTTTGTTGTTGGGTTTAGATACGTATGGATGTTTTATACAGTACATACTGAAAATACATTGGTCCAGCTTGGTCCAATATAACTATGTATATACCATACCAGGAAGCTGGAGATCACTGAAGTAGCCATTAGTACTGCAGTGATCTCCACTTGCTTCATGATGAGCAGTTGGCCTTATGTACCGTGAATACAGGACGACGGCCACTCGGCATAGGCACTATTTAGAGTATGCTTTGCATTTTCTGAATTAATTCAAAGCATTCTGACTGGATGAGTTGGAAAGGTGGGGTTGCGGCATTACATTCTCCACCCCAACCAATCAGAGAATGCTTTGCATTTTTCAAAGCATTCTCTGAATGGTGCCTGTGCCAAGCGGCCAACCTCCGGTATTCACAATGGATCAGGCCAGCCACTTGACACAGGATCTGGAAACAAGTGGATATCACTGGAGTAGCAATGTTTACTTCAGTGATTTCCAGCTTACAACAGCATCTGCCAGGTATGTCATGTATGTAGTTACTGTACATTGTTCTAAAAGAGACTTAATAACAGCTTAACATTACTCAGGGGGAACATAAATTGGACAGCTTACATTGAGATACAATCTTACTAATGGGATTTCCCACCATGGACTAGTATAAATAGAATGTCTGTGTACTGAAGTCACTGGGTTGAGGTCTACCTTATTTTGGGTGTCAGCGAGTGGGCTCATATCCCCCATCAAGCAGTAGACCACACAGAGAGTAGGGGAGTCAAGAAGTCATTGGCTTGCATGAATCACTTCTTCTAAGCACTCACCCAGATTGTCATAGGTTAGTCTCTTTAGATGACCCATTTATCCCTTGACTCAGGAGATGTGTCAGTGTCATCTTCAGCCTCTGATGCCCTTCCATCTTGCTCTGAATAACTTTTTATAATCTCAGTATATATAGGCTCTTTGGAGTCTTCCACCTCCTCTTTAGAGAGCTAGCAGAGCAGGTCCTTCTCTTGCACTTCTTTCAGGTCTCTCGGGGTGAATCGAGGTAACTCTTTGTTTCTCAGCTTAGACACATTGCAATACTACTGGGGAATGCCAGTGATACAGATGCCCATGGCCTCAGCATAGGCCATGCTCTTGATACTGTATTTAGCCCTCTGGCTCAGAGCATGCACCCCCTCTGGAAAAACATGGGTATACTCTAGCTCAGTGGCCCCAACATTGTAAGGTGTTCTGGACAGTGCATCTGCATCTCGGTTGCTGACCTCAGGATGGTACTTCAGGCTAAAATAGAATCCTGAAAGTGCTGCTAGCTATTGGTGTCCCATGGCATCCAATTTGGCTGTGGTGAGTATGCATTTCAAAGCATTGTTTTCTGTCTTGACCACAAACCCTGCCCCATACAGATAGTCCTTCAGGTTGTCTGACATGGCCCAATGCAGTACCAGAAACTGCAGTTTGTGAGTGGGGTAATTCTTCTCAGCAGGGGCCAGATTTCTGCTCATTAAAGCAACTGGTCGCAACTGCCCATCGTGTTCCTGATATAGCATGCCACCCAGGTCTTCTTGACTAGCGTCCACATGCAGCTAATAGTATTTGTATGGGTCTGCATAAGCCAGCATGGGAGCGTTGGTAAGGCAATCTTGAGAAAAGTCTGTTTACACTGCTCCATCCACTGTCTATTGATGGGTTCTCAAGGCTTTCTTGGGCCTTTCTTCCACTGAATTACAGCTGCAGTGCTAGCGTCACACTTGCTGTTGTTCAGCAGCTCTGCCAGAGGGGCCACCGTGTTTGCAAACCCTTGAACAAATCTGCAATAGTACGAGCAGAATCCCAAGAATGAACTTAGCTCAGTGACATTATTGGGCCAGAGCCATGTCGTTTTGGCCTATATTTTGCTAGGATCAGTGGCTATCCCCTCATTGGAGATGTTATGCTCTAAGTAAGTGACAGAGGTCTGATAAAAACTGACATTTTTACAAGGACAGCTTCAGCCCCTCTTCAAAGAGTCTTTGTAGTACCTTCTCAAAGCGTTTTTTTTTCGTGTTTATCCAACATCCTTCTGAACATGATGATATCATCCTGGTACACAAGGACCTCAATTAGGTTCATGTCTACCACTGTGGGCTCCATTGGCCTTTAAATGAAAGGCCATTGGGGTTTCTGACAGCCCGCGAGGCATCCTGTTGAAATGAAAGAATCTGAATGGACTAATGAAAGCAGTTTTCTTCCCATCTTCAGGATGCATGGTGATCTGACAGTATGCACTCATTAGATCCAACACACTGAACCATTTAGCCCCCCAACAAACATTGCAGTGAATCTTTGATTCTGGGAGTGGTGTGTTGATTGGGGGTAGTTCTCCTGTTGAGAGTCCGTTAATTTAAATGGAGGGACCCATTCTTCTTTTACATTAAAACAATGGGGGACGTGTAAGGGCTTCTGGACTCCCTGATGATGCCTGCTTTATTCAGCTCTTACAGCTGTTCTCTGATTCCCTTTAGATCCCCCAGGGGAGCACGCAAGCCAACTTTTGGAATGGCTTATCCTTGCTGAGTCAGATTTGATGGCGGGCACTTGCCTCAGCCTGCACAGTAGTCATGCTTTGAAAAAAATTTCTACCAGCCCAGTAGTCGCTCATGAACTCTCTACCTTTATTCACCTTGCAAAGGGAATCCTGGAGATGAAAGCCCTCCTGCAGTGCTCCCTTCACTGAATATTGGGCGCTCACTGGAGTAGCTGCATTCAGGGCTTCAGTTTGACTGATAGTTATGTGTTTAGATCACTGATGATCAACTTGCCATTGCAGCTTTGCAAAGCTTTGAACAGATATCACTTCAGGTACTACGTCCACTCCAGTCACTCCCTTTCGTGGGTCTGATTCGAGGATGACAAATGGCCCTTTGGTCTTCGTACACACAGTTTTACTGGGTTGAAGTACCTTCTCTTCAGGCCCACTCTTCCAGAATCTCCCTTCTTTCTCCTTTGGTGCCCTCTGTTCTCTAAGGACATGCTGGAATGCTTGGCACATTTGAGGGTGAATGTTCTTGACTGACACTGTGTTCTTGGCAGCTAATGGGGTGAGCAATCTTCATACCAGGTCAATATTAGTTCCGACCAGTAGGGAACTTCATTTGGCCCCCATGGGTCGAGGGCACCCTATTGCCAGTGTATCAATAATTTTTGCTTTTCCAGATATCAAGTTAGACAGATAGATATATAATGCAGCAGACTTGAATAAATAAATTATGGTGAAAACTGAAAGTCCAATCATAAAAATAGTCCAAAAATAATCCAACTTAGATTCCAGAGGGGTCGATGATGGATTCCAGATATTCCTCATAAACCTCAAATAAAACAAAACCTAGACATAGTGTATTATCTTAGGATAACATAAGTGTGCCACTCGTGCTACATGCAAAATAAAACAAGTGCCACAGCAATCGTGAACATAAAACTAAATAAAATGAACCCACTGCACACGGTAAGGTAAAAAATGCATAATTACCCTAAGGTAAACATAACCAGCATTGAATCCATATGTGGGATAGAGCTTCATCAAAATGCCATATGCTTCTCTGGACCTCATAGACAGATCAGGGGTCAGTATTATGATCAAGTAAAAACACAATTTATTGTATCAACTTACATAGAAGAAGGCTGAAATCGGCATCCATAATGGGAGAAATAAAGACTACAATCGGCGTCCACATAGAAAAAGGAAAGTCTCAAAGCCACCTCCAATAATAGGGATCCCTGTTGAAAAAGTCCGGATGTGACGAAACGTGTCCGGGGCACGTGATGTAGTGACGCACTGACGTTTTGGTTCTGGTACACGTGGCTGTTCCTATCCCTAAGGACTTCCATTTACCACTATTGGAGGTGGCTTTGAGACTTTCCTTTTCTATGTAGACGCCGATTGTAGTCTTTATTTCTCCCATTATGGATGCCGATTTCAGCCTTCTTCTATGTAAGTTGACACAATAAATTGTGTTTTTACTTGATCATAATACTGACCCCTGATCTGTCTATGAGGTCTGTGGAAGAGTATCCAGAGAAGCATATGGCATTTTGATGAAGCTCTATCCCACATATGGATTCAATGCTGGTTATGTTTACCTTAGGGCAGGGGTGTCCAAACTATGGCCCTCCAGGTGTTGAGCAACTGCAAGTCCTATGAGGCCTTGCAAGACTCTGGCATCCACAGGCAAGACACCCAGAGGCAGATGCATGATGGGACTTGTAGTACTTCAACAGCTGGAGGGCCATAGTTTGGACACCCCTGCCTTAGGGTAATTATGCATTTTTTACCTCACCGTGTGCAGTGGGTTCATTTTATTTAGTTTTATGTTCACGATTGCTGTGGCACTTGTTTTATTTTGCATGTAGCACGAGTGGCACACTTATGTTATCCTAAGATAATACACTATGTCTAGGTTTTGTTTTATTTGAGGTTTATGAGGAATATCTGGAATCCATTATCGACCCCTCTGGAATCTAAGCTATTTGGATCTCCTTTCACATGTTGTTGGATTATTTTGGACTATTTTCGGACTTTCAGTTTTCACCATATTTTATTTATTCAAGTCTGCTGCATTATATAGTTATTGTTCCTTCAGGGTGAAGGATTGTATAGGCTGACTTGCTTTACCATCTATTAGGGTATAGGGGGTGTGTGCTATCTGACTGTTAGACAGATAGATATGTACCCATCCTACAGAAACGTCCTGATTCCCCAGATCTCTAACTCCTTTAGCTTCCAGAGGGGTATATACATCAGGTAATTGTTATAGAGATTTCTGTAGAGCAGTGTTACCAACACTCCTGTGTCTAGCAGTACCTTAGCATATATTCCCTCCACTTGAATGGAGATGATGGGTGAAGAGCCCACTAAATCATCTGGAAGCCTGTTTGGGTTGGACTTAGAAGCCCTAATTCAAGTTCTTCCTTGTCGCTGTACTCTTCCTTTTGAAGGGGTATTCTCTGGCCTAGGAGAGGGGTGTGCACTTACTTCCTGCACCCAGGGGCCAACCAGTGCATTTAGAGTGTAGGCTGGACCTACGGGGCAGTTATTGGGAGGGGTTTAAGTAGTTATGGATTTCCAAGTTTGAGTTTCTTGAGAGGTGGGCCATGGGGTTATCTTTGGGCCACAGCTGGCTACTTCACTGAGGCCTTTTGAAGTTTCCCTCCAACTTCAACAGTTTCTGTAAGGCTTTCACCACTTCAGCTGTAAGATCAGTCACTGTGCCTTCACTTAGACATTGATCTCTGAAGTGTCCCAGTTGTCCACACTGGTAACAACTCCTGACTGGACCTAAGATAGGCTCTCCCTTCTCTGTAATTAAGGCCAACACTGTCTGTTTCACCTTGGTCAAAGGTTTCTGTATAGCAGCGTGATCCTCCATCACTTGACCTAGAGTCTTCTGGACTTCACAGACAGCTTGCTGCATGGCAGCTTGGGTCTGAGCCATCTGCTTTAAGGCCTGTGTCATGGCATCCCCCAGGCTCCTGCCTCAGGAATGACTTCATCCTTTGATGCTGTCTGCGTAACACAGGCGGAGGCCCTTTAAGAGTCTCTGACTTCTGGGCCTTAGCAGCAATTAGAGCCTCCTCATCATGGATAGTCTTCAGCAACTTGGAATATGTCATTTGGTTGTTTGGACTCCTGGCACGATGCTGTAGTACGATAGGGTCGAGAGGTTTGGGCCCTTTCTGGATCTGAGCCTAAAGAGCTTTGCTGGCATCCTTTGCTTCGATGCCTCCTTTTATGATCACCGGGTGGAGAATTTTATCCAATCCCCTGACATAGTCTGACAGCTTCTCAATCTCCCGTTAGTATGTCTGTTCAAATAGGTCTGTCAATTTAGTTTTTTACTCTTCCACATGCTTCCCATAAGGTCTCTAGATATTCAAAAGCAGTGCACCCTGGTTTGTCCCATTTCAAGTTTCGAAGCCAAGGGCCCACAAGCTTTCTACCACCCTCTGTTTTTTTATGGTATTGGTTACCTTCCACTTCCCCACTGCCTGGATGGCCTGGTCAATACAAGTATCAAAGTCATCCTCCCCAGAGGGGATGGGAGTCTTTCTGGAAAGGAATCTCAGCTAGCGGTAACTGTAACTGGTAGCAAAGATAGAGTTCTTCAGTAGATTCTCTATGAACGTCCCTAGCTTGGCTAAGTTGGTGGCCAACAGTCTCCAGGAGCAGTACCTGAAATGGACGTGCAGGCTGAGATGGGAGCACCTGGGTCTGATGGGGCCTGCCCTGAACTTTCTGGGTTCAGTCTTGACTAGCCAATTCAAATGAGATGGGCTTTGAATGATTCAGTCAAGCAGGGAATCCTTCCTTGCAGTATGGAGGGGATGCCTTTCTTCCACTTAGTACCACACACAGGTGTGGTTGCACCCAGACTGACTCTTAAATCCAGGATATACACCCGATGGCCTGGAACTTGTTTGACAACCATCTGTATGACTTTCTGTTCAGTCCAGACCCCACCAGGGATGTTGAGCGCCACACACAAGTCTGCTTGCCTGTTTTGCCCCCAACACCACTCAACAACAGCTGTAGGTTCCATTTTGCCTTCTTCTAACTTATAGGCCTAGTGAGCCCCCACATGTAGTGCCACCTCTGCAGGAGTAGCTGGTAGTATTTGGTTCTCTACTGATTACCTTGGCCCTAGGCAGAACCTCACTCTTGTCTGAACTCAACAGAATACCCTTGCTGAGGCCCTCTGGTGGTTACACAAGCAGGGCACGCACTGACAGTAGTAAGGTAAAAATGCTGTAATGTCAAGAGTAGAGTGGTAAGGTAACACAACAGTCCAAAGACTCAAAAAAAGTTACCACACATGGAGAAGGCAATAATAATACAGTGCAGTTAACACCTGTACCTTTAGGGTCAGACTCAATATATACTGTAATACCAACAGCATAAAACAATAGCTCACTGACTCAGAGATAATGCTCCAAGTGACTTCAAATAGCTACCAATAAAACTACAGGCTAGTTCACTTAGGAGTTCACAGTCAGGAGAGTCTAGGCTTAGGCCTGAAAGGCTATCAAATCTCCTGCACACCATTGCTGCTACCAGACAGACCCTTGGATCTGAATAGTCCTTGGATATAGCTATATAATCCAATTCAGAAGTCTGGGTTCAAAGGCAGATTTGGTTAGAATGGGCAGCAGCTTGCGGCAATTGATGGCAGCAATATTATTTAGCCCTGACCAAACACAGGGTCAGGAAGTGACTATAGCACATGTAGGCCTGTGTGGCAACAAGAACTAAATGTAATAAGCAGCAGGGAAGTATGGCTCAGTGACCCTCTCACCAAGATCTTCTATGGCAGTCCAGGAAGCAGGCAAGTCATGCGGTGAGGGGCACCCTTAAATGGCAATGTTGTTGTGGCTGTCTGAATGCATGCACTCGGTACAGTGGACCCGGCTACTGAGGAGTCTCCCCAGAACAGTCTCCTTAGCTCAGCACTCAGGACAACAGTCTGCTCATTGGCTCACTAGCAGCTCTGTTGAATGCAGCTCGACCTGGCCTGGTCCGGACAGCATAGCCCAGAAGAGTCACTCACACACTTTTTAAGTTAGCACATATCTCCCCAACTGTCCCAGATCCTTCCCTGGCTTTTCTTTTATTCTTTTATAATGTCCTTTACCTTGCCTGATGCTTGTGGGCTTTGTAGTTGTGACTTTAGTTTCTCTGAATAGAAAGTCCTGTGGTTACCAGTTTCATTCTGATAAGTGTACATCTATTAGAGGTGGCGGATCCCCCTGCGTGATTGCTATCACTTTCATACCCAGCACTTTAGTTAGCTGCACCTTATTATCTAACGGACATTTAAGTGGATCACACCCTATCACAGACATTATTAGTTTTATTACCCGTAATATTCTGCTATTTATTTATTATTTTTATTTATATTGCATTTGATATTACACAATACTATGGACATTATCACATTACCTATGCATTTATGAGGCACTTTATATTTATATATTGAAGTATATTCTCTTGACTGTTTTTGCACTTTTATATGATGCACTTTGCTGTTCCACATTACCCATTCAGTTTTTGATGCATTAATTGTTCCATTTTACCATGTGATTTACGGATCATTTTCTGCACTCTTCAACGATGCACTTTATTGTTCCGTTCTAGCATATATTGTTATATCTTTTATGTTAGTGAACGAGGCACAGCTAAGTGAAAATTTACTTTGCAAAGAATACCCTAATGGATTTTTACTCATGTAAATTCAGCACAGCTTAACCTTATTCACTAAGCTAAGTGAACATTCACTTCACTACAATGTGGTTGATTTAGTAAATCAATCAAATTGTGCAAGCATTGTCCGCCATTGCCACTACCAGAAAGTTGGTTCAGATCAATTATTTACAGCCATATAGACAGGAAGTGGATTGACTTGGCACTAAATATTAGCATTAATTTGTATATTTGATATTTACCTAGAATTCAACATGAATTGCTATAGCATTGTGCATTGTTTCTGTTATGTAATTGCAATTCCAGTTGCAATATCTAGTCACTCCTTTTTTTTGGCTTGTAAATAAACATACAAATTCAGGTTAACATGAAAATGAACATGAGTTTAGTAAATACCTTGGAGGGCAGTCTCGTCTGTTACATGCAACAGGTTTTATGGACGGTCTGGACTTATCCAGGCAGTAAGACATATTAACTTCTTGCTTGTCAAGGACACATTTTAGCTGTGGTTGTTGAATGCCTCTGTTGCCACACGATGCTGTACATGGCACCAGACCAGTCACTGACCATTGATAGTCCGATGATGTTGCTGCAATTGGAGAAGAGGCTATAGTAAAATACACCTCCATTATGTGTTTTTGAAAAATTAATTAGAGGGTACTGCCTACACCGATTTTATCTTTATTTTAAAACTATACCATTTTGTGGTGTATTTACCCCAGTGCACCTTCCTCAAAGCACCAGTATCTTGCTACGCTGGATGCAAGCCCGCTATACAATGTCACAACTTTGCAGTTTCTTGTTGCACTTGCTTGGAAGGGCATAACCACACATGTGCTGTGTCCACTCTTCTTTTCACCTTGAAGCTGCTTGGACATCCCACCCAGGCACTAGTACCTGAAAACATGTTAGACGGACAGCATTGTGCCCTTTATAACCTCCTTCTCTGCTCTTCAGGGGATTGAGGGAAGATGACATAAAGATGTTTAACTGGACTAAAAACTGCTTTTCATATTTGCCTTGAATTTTGTTTTCACATATTCACTGTATTTATTCAAATGATGCTGCAAACCACATATTTTGTGGGATATCCGTCTTTGCAAGAATAGAATCTAACATTTTCCATGATTGAAGACACAGGGTGTTAAGCCCCTTCAAGAAGCTGCCATTAGACACAAGATTTTCTCATGAAGGAATTACCCCTGTGTGAGAGATGTAGGGAAGGGGGACTCTTGTTTTAAGCACTTCTTACATTATCTAAAGGTTAGTAAAGTATTTAAAGTGCCAATCACTACAGGAACCTCCAGGTACCTGCACATCTAGTGTGTTCCAAGAGCCACAAATACTGAGGTCCTCTGGCATGGCCGATTACTTTGCTCCACCCCTTCCTGTTCTTCTCTAATAGCCCATTATTATGACAGAGGAATTGGACCACACTCTCAAACACAGGAGTTGGTCGAAATTTGCATACAGAGCCCCCATCTCTGGGGCAGGAATAGGAAAGGTATACTGATGTGCAGGTATCCAGAGATGCCTGCTATGAAATACCACTGCTTTACTAGATTTTAGTTGATTTCAGTTTATCTCTAATACAGCCTCTTCTAAGACATACTACTCAATCATTTTATTAGCTGGTCCTAGGAAATAATATTAGAAATCACTGCACATAATACGACCCTCAAGAATATGACATCTTACACAATGAAAGGATGTTAAGAATGTAAAACATTATGATATCTATTTACCTTGAATTGACAGAAAAGCTCTTTGCGTAAGTGAATCAGAAGGATTGTTTACAACACAACTGTATTCTCCTACATGATCTTTACTTATATTAGTTAGTCTTAGAATCTGTCCACCTTCCAGAATCTTATATGATTGCCGTGCTCCATTGTTCAGTGGCTGATTTACATGAAACCAAGAAATGCTTGGCACATATTCTCCTTTCAGAGGGCATCCTGTTGTATAAACCAAAGACATACAGTCAGTCAGATAAAGCATATCTATGGCCAAAATATAAAAATCATTCCTACATATTATTTCTAGCCTACTTCTATTAATCAGAACGATCTTGAATTTTGTAAACTTTCTTTGTGAAGATCCCCACACATTTACTTCCTTAAATTCTGTGACACGTATTCACTTTGCCCTGTGAGTAGGCACTGCTGTGTCACAAATTTCACAGAGCCTGCCTTCTGATCTACAGAGGTGCTAAGAGGAGGATCTTCAGGAGGCGGGGTTAGTGCAGGAATCATGGCTTGCAGTCAGCAAGATACCATGGGATATGTAGTTCTTAGAAATGTAAAGTAAACAGATGAGGAGATACTGCAAAGTATGCAGGGAATCCAGTAAGTTGTGGAAAGAGATGACAGCAGACAGGCAAAACTCACAATATGAAAGATTTTTTAAGGAAGCTTATATTGGATTGTCAAAAAGAACTATTGTTTGTGTTGTAATTGCAAAGTTTATGCTGTAACTATAGATTTCCTATAGGCCCCTTTCACATGGATGGACTCCACCAGAATATCTGCCTGCTCAGCGAGGGATCTGTTTGCTGCTCCCCACTGAGCAGGCGGATGAAGATGCACTTATGCAGAGCAGACATGGACACAGCCCGCTTTCCTCTATGGGTGGTCAGATGTAAACGGACTGGCAGTCCGTTTACAACCAACTGTCATCTGATCAGCTAGGCAGGTGGGTGTTTTACATCTGCCACTCTATAGAGGACAATTGATGGTCTGATCGGGACTGCCTGAAAAACAGACAGGCGGACCCGATAAGTCCACCCATGTAAAAGTGTCCCTAAAGGTACATTTCAGTAGAAACAATTACAGATACCCATAATAAAAAAAAATAATAAACACAAATGACCTCTAATGTGCACACACATACAAGCTTTCTTGTATTTTCCCTGTGCAATTACTTTAAACTGTCACACTGATGTTATTATAATTAGCTAATACAATACAATAATTAGAACTGTACTAAACACTGTTTTATCTAAAATGACATACTGCATCCCAATGGAATTTAAAAAATCGTAGAACATATTCTATAAAAAACAATATTTATGGAATAAACTCAGCACCCATAATGAAACAAAGCTTTTCCTGGTTTGATTCCACATAATATATATGCTGTTTTTTAGTATATTTTAAAGACTCAGTTGGTATGATGACAGGGTATATGGTTCTGGGTTTACACTGCTTCTTTTCCATTGCAAAGAAAGTAGGTAAAGCATTTGGTTATATTTTAAAATATTTTTTACATACTCTTATTTAAAACATTACCATTTTTTTTTAAATTATGCTAAAATTCATGAATTCTGAGGATGTACAAAATAACAATGGCGATGTTCAAAGTTCAAAGGTCCCAAGCCCTACTCTATAGAAGCCATTTTTTTTTTTTTGCATCACAGCGATGATGGCCAAAATGTCCTGAATAACTGTATGCAGTTAGGAATAAATGGCTCTATAATATTAGGCTATATTTTCCCTACACACCAGCGGCGCCATACATAAATCTGGCTGATAAGGCATAAAGCAATGTTTTGCATGGTTCTGCCCACTTTCCTGAAAAGAGAAATTAGGTTTAAGCTGGGTATATACATACTGAAAGTTGGCTGGTTCAGCAGGAACCAGACGACATTTGGTATGTGTGTACCGCTGTCTGTTCAATGCAAGCCAGTCTAACGACCAGCTTCAGTTGCACAGTGATGATGGCAAATCAACATTTGATCATCACTTGCGGCAGGGGAGATCCTTGCATCCACGCTCTTGCAGATGCGGATGCAGGGATGTGTGATTTTTTTTTTTTTTCATTCAGCTCATTTGAATGAAAAGAAAATTCCTAGTGTGTACTTTGCTTTAGTTTTAGGATATGTTATGGAAGGAAAGGTGAAATGTGAAAATATTCTATTATAAGAAGGCTTTACTGTGCCAAGTAGTACTTTGTATATTTTTAACACATTTTCATTGATTCATTTCATTATTGAACAACTACAGTGCTCTCAGTCAATTTAAAATGTTAATAAACCTCAACCTTTTCTCATCAGCAGTATATAGCAGTCTTGTGACTTCTATCAGTTTTCAGCAGAGCACTGGTTACAGCTTGTAGGAGGAGCTTTCTTTCTGCTCAAGGTGGATGTACTAGCTCTAGCAATACACACCAAACCGAGCTTGTGCAGAGTGACTCCACACCATATGTCTTATCAGGAGATAAAATGGGTACACTGGAAGAAGGAAAGGATCAGAGAAGTCAGCATCAAACAGCCTTTTCACACTATGCAGAGGATTAATCCCTTAGGTTCCACAGTGAATATAACAAGCATGCTTTACTGCATATAAACACTGATTTTACTGTTGTGAGTTTGTTAACACTTTAAGAATATAAAAGTGAGGTTTTGGCTTTCTTAGGAAAATATCTATGTGTGCACAATTATTGGGCAACTATTAGTGCGCAGAATTTTTATGCAACTAAATGAAAAAGAAAAATGTTCTTATCTGACTTGTTTATTTTCATCTGTTAAAGTGAGAATAATAAACAAATCAAAATTTACAAATAAACATATTTGACATTAAAAAAAAAAAAAAAAAATCAGTGACCAATATAGCTTCTTTTGAATAACAGTCATAAGCCTTCCATTCATAGAATCTGTCAGTTTCTTGATCTGTTAACGATCAACTTTTTGTGCAGTCGCAACCACAGCCTCCCAGACACTGTTCAGAGAGGTGTACTGTTTTCCTTCACTGTAAATCTCTGTTTAACAAGGGCCCACAAGTCAATAAGGTTTAGGTCAGGTGAGGAAGGAGGCCATCTCATTATTCTTTCATCTTTAAGGCCTTTACTGGCTAGCCATGCAGTGGAGTACGTTGATGCATATGATGAGGTTTGGAGTTGATTTTGAGTCCATCTTCAACCTGAAAGGGTCATATAGCTCATCTTTAATAATATGAGCCAGTACCCCACCTCCACCTTGCTGGCGTCTGAGTTGAAATGGAGCTCTGTGCCATTACTGATCCAGCCACAGGCCCATCCATCTGTCCATCAAGAGTCACTCTCCTCTCATCAGTCCAAAAGACTGAAAAATCTGTCTTTAGATATTTCTTGTCCCAGTCTTGACGTTTCAACTTATGTGCCTTGTTCAGCGGTGATTGGGTTTCAGTCTTCCTTACCTTGGCCATGTCTCTAAGCACTGAGCTTCTGGGCACTTCAGGTTGCAGCTCTGGAATAAGACATCACTGGAGGATAATGGGTTCCTGGTAGCTTCATGTTTGATTCTCAAATCTTTGGCAGTAATTTGCGTCTTTTTTTCTCAACATGTTTCTTGCGACCCTTTTGACTATTTGCAACAAAACCTTTGATGGTTTTGTGATCACGCCTTAATATCTTAGCAATTTCAAGAGTGCTGCATCCCTCTGAAAGACTTTTACATTATTTTCTTTTCAGAGTCAGTTAAATCTCTTTTTTGTGCCATTTTTCCTGAGGAAAAGAAGTTGCCTAATAATTATGCACACCTTGATATTGGGTGTTGATCTCCTTAGGCCACATCTCCCTCATTACACAAATACACATCACATGACATGCTTAATTCCAATAAGCATTCAAGTTTATACAGCTTGGAGTTGGACAATATGCGTAAAAATGGTAATTTGGTTAAAATACTCACTTGCCTAATAATTATGTGCATACTGTGTGCTGCATGTAATTGTAATTGTAAAAGAGTCAGAACAATTGTTATACTTACCCTTAATTAATGAATTAACAACTTGAATATCACAAGAAAAACAAAAAAAAATTTGTCATGAAAAATTGAAAAGAACAAGGTGGCATATCTATTGCTTGGCATAGTTTTTGCCATTTTCTGCAGGCTGTGTTTCCTTCAGGTGTCTCATATCTCAAATTGAGATAATGTCCTAGATCTGCTGCAACAACCCAGGAAAAGAGGTAGGTCTTAGTAAAAATGAAGCAGCAGTTGACAGGACTGGAATATTCGACACATGAAATGTCACCTGATCTAGGAAGCTTTCCATGCCTGCTTTTAAATATATGTCCCTTATAGCAGTATTAAAGAAGCACTATACATCATCAGCAGTTCTGGATGTGCTTTTGGCTAATGGGATGTAAAGCAATGATTAGCATGGCATCCCTGCTGTTCTGAAATGAGGAATATTCCTCTTAAGAAGGTTTCACTGTGCAATGCACTGAGGACTTTACTTGCTTTAGTCCTTCCTCACCATAAGCTGAATGGGAAGGACTACTTTCTAGGTCCCAAGGCGTACTCCAAAGTTCAACAGCCAAGATTCCACTTTTCACATATTTAGAAAGTAAAGTGTTACAAAGAAAACTGAATGTTCTTTGTTGTGTTTCAAGTCCTGCTCCATAGAAGTCATGGTTTACATACACTGCACTTATAATGGACAAAAAGCCTGAAACAGCTGTATGCAGTTTGGGATATTTACACTATACAATAATGGTTCTGAGTGTGTATGGCTGATGGGGAGCAAAGCAGCATATGTATAGCTCTGCCCACTGTCCTAAGATGAGGGATAATCTTGTTATTTTGGGAATATTTGAAGAAATGAAATGTGACAACCTTCTGTTGAAGCCTGTACTGTGCTTCTGATCCCACTAGCTATAGGAAATCAATCTTATGTCTTTGGGCACACTAAGACCTCTTTTTGGAGAACTGCTAAAATTCATTGGCTACATTTTCCAAGCTAATGTCTGGTTTAATAAACCCAAGATAAGCCAGTAAGTGGGAATGCCATCATAATCCCTTGTAGGGGAGCCTCTTTTTTCTGAAT